AGGTGGCAGTGTGTCCCTTCTCCTATGTGTTTTGGACCCTTTGGACCCACATGAAATGTCACCAGGTGCCTCATGAAAAAGAGACATTATTTTTTCATTAAGTCCTGGGTTTTTCCCTGTGTAAATAACTAGTCACAGTAATTGAGCATTTGAAGTCATTCGTAAATGGGTTTGAACCCTGATTCTGAGACTTGGGTCCTGTGATCTGGGCCAGAGAGGCTTGGAGCACCAAGAGGGATTTCAAACACTGGATGGAACTGGATGATAAAGCAGGAATCTAAGTCAGTGTGGAGCTGGGGTTCCAGGGAGGTGGCCGGCTTTGAGAAACTTGTTGAAGAACCTAGTTTCTGAGGAGCGGGCATCCAAGGACTCACAGCAAGAATGCAAACTGCTAAGACACGGAGCCATTAACCCAGAGCTCCCTGACTCTACCCCGAAGAACAGGACTGATTCAACTTTGGGGCACTGCTGAGCCTGAGGCCTGGGTTACCTGGGACCTGTTATGAGGATTACAGTTATGGGGGCAGGAGACAGAAAAAATTGTAATATATTGGCTTTCATTGTTGGTCTCTTGGTTTTTCATCCTATTTCCTCTCTTTAGCTCATCTACTTCCTTCAGTTCTTTCCTGGCTTCCAGGTGAGCAGGGTCTGTTCCCTCTTGGCCTGCGATCACCTCCCTGACGAGATGTCACAGCCACTGCCCGGCAGCTCCCTGCCTCACAAGCGTGGCCAGGGTCCCTCGGGCTGTGAGCACAGTGAGTCTTAGACCAGCCTCTGCCACCGTTACACATAGTTATTCATGATCTTACCGGGGGCGCAGGGCTGGCTGATTCCCCTCCATCAATAGTCCCTGTCCATTCCCCTCTCTTCTCTTCACTCAGCTTCTTTCTCCCCTTTCAGTCCTACATTGTAGATCTCTGATTGACTTCTCTCCGACTGACTTGTCACCCTAGCCGCTCTAGTCTTCATCGGCTCAATCATAATGAATGACTGAGGATAATTATTCTCAACATTTATTGAGCTCTTACTATAGGTCAAGTATATTATTTCATTTTTAATCTCACAAAAAACCCGACTGTAAATAGATTGTTATAATCTGACTTTTACTGATGAGGAAACTCAGAGTGGTTAAGAGTTTAGGCTCCTTCAATTCAATAAATATTTAGTGACTGACTGCTGAAAATCTCGTGTGTCTATATCCCTTGTGTCACACAAAATAAGTTTCCTATCACCATAACCTTTCTTCAGAGAGTTGAAATATATGTAGTTTTTTGAAATCATTCTCTCTCTTGGCAAGTCCTTCAGTGTCCTTCTTACGCATCTTAGATGTTACTTCTGATTAAAATGGGGTGAACCCAGCCTCTTTGATTAATGTTGTCATTTTTTAGAGGAACAGAGGCTTCTGGTGGAGAAGCGACTCACACTGGGTCACGTGGCAGGCTAAGAAATTCAGGGCGAGCACCCACGTCTCCTAATGCTGGGCTGGTGTTACTCTGATGTACTTAGCACGTGAAGTTTTATTGGCACCAGGGGAATGATTTCTCGTTTATATTACAGAAGTCAATTTATTTTTTCATAGAAAAGTAATATGTGGACATACAGCTTTCCCTGCAGCATATCAGGGTGGATTCCTGGATCTGCTAAGTGTTTCTAAACTGCAGAAAAATTCCCCTACAGTCTTACAGGTCAGAACTTTTCAGCGTGAAATAAATGCCTGATCACTCACCTCACTTTTCTGCCAAAAATAAAGCATAGCCACTCTCCGGACTCTGACCTTCTGTAGAAGTGTAATCCTTCCAAATCCATTCTTCAGTGAGGGACACCCACTTTTTCCCATGGGCTTCGTCCAGTCTTGGTGTTCTAAGGGCAGGATGTTTAGAAGTTGAAGTCATTGACTTTCAAAATGAGAAGCTATGTTGGAGAGTGTCTTGTTGTTTATACTGTTTATGTAACTTGGAGCCGTGTTGCCACCAAGGTAGCTGCTGGTTTTATGTAGTTCTTACTAAGAAATTAACATAATAGCATTTAGCCAGCCTCAGGCTATATGACAGGACTTCAAAGTCCCCAGGAAGCGTTATCTTTGGGAGCTGGGAAAGAATTATTCCTCCTGTCTTTATATATTGATAAGCCGAGACCACGAAAGACCAAAGCAACTTTGTGTGCTTTAAATTAATATAGCATAAAATGTTAACATGTATGAAATCTAGGTAAAGGTTTTGTGTGAATTCTCTTTCCC